CTCGCGTTCGAAACAACCGCCGTCGTCGCATCCACCGCCAGCGTCACCACCAGGGGGCGCGACTGTCGGAAGTCGAGCACGTGCCACTGGTTGTCGGCGAGGTTGCGCGCCGGGTGGAGGACGACGCCGGCGGCGCCACCTGCTAGCCACTCCATCAGCAACGTTCCGTTGTTTAGAACCTTGAATATATAGACCAACAAACATGTTCTAAGGCCATCCTTAAAAAATTATATGTTTGCTGTCCTCCGACCGACCCACGAAAATAGCCGAGACCCAAAAGTTTTTTTTTACATTTTGGGTTCCTTTTTTTTTTTACATTCTTTATAGTTAAGACTGAAACACAAAGCATGTGTCACAAACATGAGGACAGACTTAAAATAACTATTATGCCACACACAAAAAAGAAGACCTACCTACCTACCCACTAAAAAAATCATGGGTCGGGGGACAGCAAACATTGAATTTTTTAAGGATGGCCTAAGGCATGTCATACTCATACTACCATAGTGTAATGTTGATTATAACATTAGAAATGCAAGTACATATTAAAGGGATACTAGACTCTAGGATTTTACTGCATGCAACTGTACTTACTGTATAACAAATCGTCTATACCCACACGTACTTGTTACCAGATACCTAATTTAATTGTTATAATTAATTATACATACGAAATTTGCTACGAAATTTGAACGGCGCCATTGACACCCGCAACCCTGCTGCCACGCTGAAAAAGTTGCGCATTTCCAAATATATTTTGGACGTTACAGACCGAGGGTTAATCACAAAGGTGCACTTATATTTATACCTAAATGCTATTTAACCAAACGATGTTCATTTTAGGTAAAAATTTATCTATAATATAACTGAAACTATATGTCGTTTATAAGATATTACAATCCCTTTGCTTTTAAATTAATAAATAAGAAACACCCTAGTTCTGTAGCCCTTGGCTGAAAAGTCGTTTTGTGCAACTTTTCAGATCGTACGCTTTGAGTGGCGCCACCGTCGTTGTCATCAAACTGTAGTCGTTAGTTTTAAAACATTAAAAAAAAAAAATTCTAATGGTGATTGAACCATGAAACTTTTTATGTAGCGTAATTTTAACCTGAAAATAACCCTAGAATCTAGAGTAAAGGATCCCTTAATTTGTAACACAGTGTATGCAAAGCTGCTTATGTAGGCATACACTGTGTTAATATCTACTTGTATTTCTAATGTTATAATCAACATTAATCAACATAATCAACATTAATAGTCTGTTATCATGCGCTTGTTATCTTGCATTTGTTTGATATCGGTTTAAGAGCTATTTCAAGAGCTCATGTTACCCTGTACGTCCTGTACCGATGAAAATAAAGATTACTTTACTTTACCTCGAACCGCAAGGTGTCGCCACTGTCTCCGCGCTGGTAGAGCAGCTCTCCGCCTGCGCACGTGCGGAAGCTGAGCGACGTGTGACCTTGAACGCTGAGCGTAGAGCGCAGCACCATCAACGACGTACGGTTGAAGAAGGCGAGACTGTGCTGCGCCAACGCCACCTGTAGGCACAGAGGCACAACTGCGTGCGCCAAGAGAGATGGAGAGAGGGAGAGAGAACGGAGGGGGAGAGAGAACGGGAGAGAGGGAGCGNGAATATGCCTCATAGTCTAAGCCACTGCCATAAGGAGGAATTCTCCCTTCATTCACGGGAATGCCCTTGAATGACCTTGATCACGCATCCCCGGTATAAATGCCTAGTACTATGGATGCCTATACCATCCACGAGGCCCTGGCCTCATACATACAGAGCAAGGAACCATATAATGACCTCACATATATATGCGGTAATTAGAACTACACACCATCGCGGAATATATGATCTCATACATCCACACTGACGCACAGTCAATAAGAACTTGCTAAGGAACCTAGAAACTGAACCTATATACACCTACACATTCAGTTCGATCTGTACCTATATACATATGTGCTTTCATCGTTTCCTGAGCTTATCTATAACTTACTGAATAACTTTTCGGTATCATACATAGCATCAGGAGTGTATCAAAATTTTGATAAACTCCTGATAGCATCAAGATAGCATTTAAACCCCCTAAGAAATCACAGAGTTCCACTATGAATGTGTTCATTCTAATGCCCACGTACGGCGTAACACATAATAATATCAGGAGCTAATAATACAGTTGTGTATTATATTAGCTCTTGATAATATAAAGGTGCGTGCGCTTAAAGTAATGCAATAATGATCGACTGACGTCAATGAACTGTTCGCTTAGACCGAAAGTATAACGCATAATGAACGAGTATTGTGTTGCATATATATATATATCAGGAGTAGATAAAGGGTAGATAAGATGGGGGTAAAGATGGGGGTAAGATGGGGGTAAAGAGTAGATAAAGAGTAGATCCCTTTATCTACTCCTGATATATATATATATATATATATATATATATATTATCAGGAGTAAGATAATATAGGCCTATATTATCTTACTCCTGATATTATGTATATACGGACACCCATGCAGATATAGTAAAATTATATATATGCGCCGGATGGATATAATATATAGTTGAAACTAGAATCGAACATTCAGCCTTTGTATATATATACGCATTGCCCAGGTTACATAGTTCAGGACATGTGCACACGCCTCCATTAAACGCTGTGGCGTGAAAAGAATTAAGTCACTGAACTATAGCTCTCAAACGAAAAGGATATATATATATCTTTCAGGAACAGACCGACAATAGAACAGAACTGAAACAGGAAACCGAGTTATCGGATTTCATAACCGAAATTCAAATGCTGTGTAGCTTGTTGTGTTAGACAATGTTCTGCTATTGTAAACACGCGATACCACGAGCCGTCCGGAACTTAAATTGCGCAATAGTTTTGTTAATTTGTTAACTATATAAATCCACTTCAGGAAGAAATTTTGAATTGTAAATAACTGAACAGAAGTGATGTATTTTTTTCCTGATAGACGCTCTGCGCTGCTTCGCTTTGTATTGTGTGGCTAGCTGTGTTCACTCACTGGATCGCTCGGCCATGATTTACACGTAGCAAAACAATGAAAGTGAAAATGAAAGAAATAATGCCTGCACATGTCGATCCATTTTTCTCTCATGAACTATAATTACTCTCTCACTCTCTCGCTCTCTCTATCTCTCTCTCTCTCTCTCTCTCTCTCTCTCTCTCGCGCTATCTTCTCTCGATCTCTCTCCTCTCTATCTCTCTCCTCTCTCTACTTCTCTCTCTCTCTCTTATCTCTCTTCTCATCCTCTCGCTCTCTCTCTCTATCTCTATCTCGATCTCTATCTCTATTCTCTCGCACCTCTCCAATCCGCCTCTCCATTCTCCCATCTCCCTTCTCCGTCTCCGCTTCCCTCTCATCTTCCTTCCGCTCTCTCCTCTCCTCATCCTCTATCCCTGCTACCCTCTCCCTCGTCCGGCGTCCGCTCCTTCGTCCTCTCCCTCTCACTCTACGCGCCGCTCCCTGATCCCTGCTCATTCTCTCCTTCTCCCATCGTCTCTCTCTCTCATCTCTGTTCTCTCTCGTCTCTCGCTCTCTCTCTCTCTTCGCGCTGCTCCCTCTGCTCTCTCTCACTCTGCTCATCGCTAGAGTCTATCTCTCTTTCTTCTTTAGCTCTTCTCGCATCTCTCAGCTCTCTCTCGTCTCGCTCTCTCTTCTCTCTCTCTCTCTCTTCATAGCTTTATATATTACCCTCAGGCTCACTCGTTACAACGTCATAAATACCGATGATGATGATGATGATGATGATGATGATGATGATGATGACGATGATGATGATGATGATGACGACGACGACGACACTGGTAATTGTCATGGATGGTCAAACAAGAACCAATGCCCCCAATATCTCAAAAATTCTATTGTGGTATATATGCGTGTCCGATTTATTGTCAGAATATATATGATATAAGCATGAGTAAATAACAGGTAATTATTAGTATAGGTATATATAGATATACCTATTATTTACTCCTGATATAATATTGAGATCACCCATTTATTGTTGGCCTGGATCTTGACAGTACGGATGACTGTTATATAGACACTAACTATTACAGACAGGTTATGTAAACACACCTGCAGTTGATGTCAGTAGAACATCACGAGCAACAATACAAGGCACCTGCTTGCCTGCCTGCCTGCCTGCCTGCCTGCTGTACATATACTGGTTTGCTGATAACATCGTTGTTGTAATGCCCGTAGTTGTTACCAGGTGGCAGCAGCTGTCAATGGTTACAAACAGCGTCGTGTTGTAGTCACGTGCTAGCTCCACCAGTGTAGCTACAGGAAGCGAAGTGTAGCGGGTTTGAATATGTAGCGGGAGTATTGTATTGAATATGAAGAGGGCTACACTTGTGAAGCTATGTTGTTCGTACATCCCTGTGGGGGCTACACGTGTAGTGGTAGTTATGTGCTAGTTCGGACGGGCCATGCAATCCGCGCTGTATAATGATATATCTATAATGTTTGATGTCACTCCTGATGATGACCACAATCTTCTGCTGACCATTGCTAGACTATATCTCTTGTTAGAGAATGACATCAGCTTGGCTGATGTGACAGCAGTGCAAGGATGTCACCACAGCTTTCTAATGACTACAGCATTTTCATCACCACACACTACAAACAAATTACTGACGGACAGACTGACAGACGGACAGACTGACGGATGGATGGACGAACGGACAGACGGACAGACGGACAGAAGCACGAATAAATGGACGGACAGACAGAAACGCAGGCGCACGCTCATGCACACACACACACGCACACACACATACACCTACACGCACCCCAAACACACACACACCTCCATACCCCCTCCTTTCCTCCCTCCCACACACACCTCTATATCCCCCACAACCAAACCTCTAAANTCATGTAGGGTCGTCAAGAGAAAAAGGTACCGTCAAGAGAGACAAGGTAGGTCCGTCAAGAGAACAAGTGTAGTCCCTCAACGAAAAGCAAGGGATCGTCAGAAAGACAAGGTCATCCGTCAGAGATGAGACAAGGGATGGTTCGCTCCAGGAAGAACAAAAGTAGAGTCCGCTGCTCAGCGCGCACATTGTCCCCGTAGCACTGTTGGCGACAGCCAACCCGCCGAAGTATCGTAATTACAGATCCATGCATAAATACAACATCTTACCCCGAGTACCCCGTATGAGGCACAATACCTTCCGACGGGATTGGCATCTCCATACGGGGGGGGGCTGAAATAACATACATCTATATCAGACTCGTCGTGTGTCAACCAAATGGAGAGCGCATCTAATAAAAGGTTATATAAGTATACTATAAATAATATAATAATACATAGAATAAGTATATGATGAGATGCCAGTATCAGGGGTACGAAAGGCTCTGCAGCCAGATTCTGGTCACACATTCAGCCTAATAAAGCACAACACACACTCTGCACATAACCTTCCCCCCTACCCCTCCCTCACTTCCACCTCCCCTCCTCCCTCACGTCCTCCTCCTGGGCCACTCCCATGCCGCCCGATCGCTCCGCTTTGCGTTACGCTGGCCCTGACTAACCGTGACATGGACGGTCCGCCGTACAGTACCTGGCCGCATTGCTTCTATTTCTCACTTCTTCGTGCGCCCGGGCCCCTGGGCAAGACCCGTTGCAGCGCAGTAACGCGGCGGCGGCGGCGGGCAGCGGGCGGCAGCGGGAATGCAGCAAGACAACCGGGTCCACTACACTCCGTGGCCGTCACGCGCGCGGGAGTCGGGGGTGGAGTATAACAGTACCTGTATATGCGGCAGTAACAAGGCAGGCACAGGTAAGTAGGTCGTTATACACACGAGACACGGAAGGGCTTGCCCCAGTAAACACGGCTCGTTTATTACGCTTCGTCTTCTCACTCTCCTTTCTGTCCTTTATTCCCATCTCCTCTCCCTCATGTTCTCTCTCATCTCCTCACTCCCTCGATTGCGCTCTCTCCTTCTCCATCCTCTCTCCTCTTCTTTCTACTCTCTCCTCTGTCTCTCTCCCCTTCTCTCTCGAATGTTAGTAGACGCCGCTGTTTTCTAACGCGCATAAAGACGCGTGGTCAACATGCTGTGTGCCTGATAAACCATGTCACAGCCACGGCTATCACTGGCTACGAAGGTAGGACTAGGCTAGTGACTGCAGGCGCGTTGGGACTTCATTTAACTACAAGTGACACTGAAACACAATCAAGTGATCCGATGATTCGTTATAGGCTTAGGCTTTAACGAACAAATTTTCATATTATTATTTCGCTCAACAGTTCATATCTCCAGGACCGCATACCGACAACGACTAGCACTAAATGCACACGCACGCACGCACGCAACGTACGACCACGCACGGCACATCACCAGCGCACACACCACACACACTGGGGCCGCTCCTCGTCCTGTCTCGGCCTGTTTGGAGCGGCGCCTTCGTTGGGGGGCTTGTGTCACGGTGTCGGCCCGCGCACACCACAGCATGCACGGACCACGCAACTCCTCACCTCACAACACACCACGCGCACACATGCAGC